TGGGCTGCCTCAGTTTGCAGCATTTTTCATAATATGAAATTCTAACATATAAAAATGAGTTTTCAGCCGTTGCAAAAACAAATAAAAGAGTCAGCTGACGCCAACTCTGGTTTTAAAATCAGAGCAAGCGTCAGTTAAAAGACCTTGAGTAGATGATCAGAGAGGGTGGCTGCTTTGATAAGGTGTTAGAAGCTTTGCAAAATAAGCAGGGGCCTGTCCATAGAGAGCCTTATATGTCAATAACAGAATTTTAAAGTGAATCCTGAATTTCACTGCAAGTCAGTGAAGGTGTAATATGTAAACCCCTGCTAGTTCGTTCTGAATTGATTGAAGATGAGCTATAGAGGACTGAGAGACACATGTGTAAAGTGAACTGCAATAATTCAAGTGGGAAAAAAACTGAAGTGTTCAATATGAGTGACTGACAGTAAAGGTTTAACTTTTGCAATAATTCTGAGATGAAGGAAACAAGAGTGGCTAACCTTTGAGATATGAGTTTCAAAGTTAGGTGCTAGTCAAAAATGATACCCAGGGTTTTAGCAGATGATTTGATGTTATTGGTGAGGTGACTGATGTAGTGACTGCCCTTCCTAGCGAAACTGTCTGGGCTGAGCACTAGAGCCTCAGTCTTACCTGAATGGAGAAGGAGGAAATTAGAATACATCCAAATAGTAATGGTAGAGAAACATTCATTAGGCAGGATAAGCTGTTGAGGTTGTTGGGCTTGACAGAAAAGTATAACTGTGTACCATCTGCATAGCAGTGGTAGAAGATTCAGTTAAAAGCATTAATTAGATTTCCCAGGGGTAACATATATGTATATATATATATATATATATATATATATATATATATATATATATATATATATATATATATATATATATATATATATATATTAGGGGTGCAACGATATTCGTATCGATATTGAACCGTTCGATACAGTGCTTTCGGTTCGGTACGCATATGTATCGAACAATACAATTTTTTTCAATTTTTTTTTTTTTTTTTTTTTTTTTTTTTTTTTTTTTTGTGTCCCGTTTGGATCTATAGCCATCAGAATTGTTGTCTTGAGGCCAAGAAAGATGCCAAGAGGATTTATTTTAAGTGGATCATCATATTGGTCCATTTGATTGACCTTTATTATAATTATGAATTTATTTTATTTTCAGTTGCAAATGGGACAGACATGACTGTGGGATAGGACAGGGGGAAAGAATGAAAGAAAGAGGGGGAGAGAAAGAAAGAAAACCAAAGGGGAGGAAAAAAAAAAGAACAATACAAAATTTGTAATTGATTTTATCAACTTTCCTTCTGACAATGCTGTCTGTGTTGAGCACTCAGTGAATCTGCATTTGACTACTCCGCCTAGGCTCGAGAGTGCAGCCTAGGCGGAGTAGTCGAACGCAGATTCACTGAGCGCTCAACACAGACAGCATGGTCAGAAGGAAGAGCGCAGGGCAAGCTAGCGAGACAGAAGTGGACCTCCCCACCCTCATTCAGATCTGGCGTTTGGAATTATTTTGGTTTTCATGTGACGTATGACCCTGAAGGTAAGCGAGTCATGGACTAAAGTAAAACAGTATGTTGGATGTGCCATGCAATGCTCAATTACATGGGTGGGAGCTAGTGTGTTAGCGCAGTTAGCTCGTTAACGTGTTGGCCGTCTAGCCCCTCTGTATAGGGTAGCTCGTTAACGGAGATTTGCGGTGTTGTGGCGTTAAGGTTATTTCAACCTGAAAGCACTAGTGGGAACACAACGAATATGACTGCACATTTACACTGACATCATCCTAGTGCAAAGACAAAAACAACAAGCATGCATGCTACAAACTTTAGCCGAGTCATTTAGACAGCTGTTAGCACAGGATTCTCCTTATGGAGACCTGATATGTTTAATATGCTGCTGAGAATATAGCCCAGAAGAAGCGGATAGTATAGCTTTTATTTTGGAAAGAGACATTTCTCTGTAATAAACTCTCTTTTCCAAAGATGAGTGATTCCTCAATCAGATACAGGGCTCGCAATATCGCTAGCCCAACGTCCCGGGGCTAGCGATTTTTTCAGTCGGGGTACCAAAATCTTTCTCTTCCCTGCCCGTCGGGCTATTGTAGGAAAAATATATATCAATGCTTTTGCATTCTTTCGGAAATGTAGCTGGGTAATTATGTCATTGGGTGAGCCACTGTCAATATGTGACATATTGCAATCGTGTTTGAATTTGCGCTTGTTTTTTTGCTTTCACTTTGCAATCACGCGAACTGTGTATAGAGAGCGACAGCACTGATCTGTGAGTGATGAAAATTTGTGCACCAATTCCTCTGACATCGTCTTATTAATTGTTAGCTTACTATGCAAACATGACAAGTGAAATCTCCTGCAGCAAGCTTAAACATGTGAAAGGTTGATCGCGCAGAGAATCGCTGAGCTTATGTGAGTGCGGCAGGATATATATTTCACTACGATGACCTGGATGATTGAGAACCTTCACAGACAGATATATATTTTAGTTCTGCTGAGCCAAATAAGACAGGTCAGGGTGAAGAAGTGACAGCCAAAGAAAAGCTTACCACAAAACGGAGAAGTTATGACAAATCAGACTATAAGGCAAAAAGAAAGTGCAGCTTTATGGTTTCATGGACAAAAGAATTTCTGTGGCTGCAATATGATGAGCTAAAAAACAACACGCACAAGGGTTAGGGTTAAATTTAAAAACTGTACTTTTGTGTTAAAATATATATTTACAATTTTAATAAATGACAAATTAAAAAGGCATGAACATTTTTTTTTTGTATCGAAAAAATATCGAACCGTGACACCAAAGTATCGAACCGAACCGAACCGTGAATTTTGTGTATCGTTGCACCCCTAATATATATATATATATATATATATATATATATATATATATATATATATATATATATATATATATATATAAAGAAAATAGAACATGTCCAAGGATTGAGCCCTGGGGGACTCCACATACGAGCAGTGCAGATGAGGGCATACATTGATTAATATGAGTTCTGAAGTGTCTGATAAGTATGAACCCCCCCCCTCCCCCACCTGAAAGCAGTACAGTGATGCCAACCCAGTTTTGTAGTCTGTTAATAAGAGAGCATGATTAACGGTATAAGTCGAGCAGGACTAAAATGTAATGTTCACCTTTATCTGAACGCATTAGAATATCATTAGAAGTCTTCAATAAAACTCGGATTGGAATTTATCAAAGACGTAAAAATTCCTTCAATAATCTGACAGAGCTGATGAGCAACAACTTTCTCTCTTTGGAAATTGGCCTATAACTACTTAAAACAGTGAGATCTAATCAGTTTTTTTCTGTAGAGGAAAGACGCTGGCTGTTTCACATTACTCTGGACTGCAACCACATGAAAGGGACGTTGAGCTGATGTCCCAACTTTCCTTTTGAAACAAATGTTTGCTGTAGTGATTTCTACTTAAGCTGAAATGTAACTTTTACATTTACTCTCCTTTTTCCGCCCAGCTTCTGGAGCCGCAGTAATTAGTGTATTATTCAATAAACCCAGTAATTGAAAATTAGTAATCAGTTAATCAGTTTAATTTTTTTTATAGGAAATGGTAACTTTCTTGCTTAAACTTTGATTTAACTTGTTTTCTTTTAAAAATGGTTTCATTTCTGCTTTTAAGAAATGTTCATATCATCACAAAATGCTCTCACACTGGACATTTACTTTTCCTTTATGAATTTATGCACTCGCATGATAGGTACTCTTTTGAAGTAGTTGAATCCACTTTTGCCTTCAGAACTGCCTTAATGTTTCATGGCACAAGTTCAATGATGTACTGGAAACAATCCTCACAGATTTTGGTCCATGTTAGTAACTCACTGCCCATGATCAATGAATAGTTCCTCTTTTTTTAGGCCATTCTTTATAAACCTCGGAAAGGTTGTATCCAAAAATCCCAGCAGATAAGCAGTTTCTCAAATATTCACTTAAGACAGATGATCCGAATCATGAATCTGTACTTAAGTAATTTTAATCAATCCAGTCAAATTGGACAAATCCATGTGAAATAGGCACCATTAAGAGTCTATAGTCATAACTTTAGCTTAACTTTATGTGTCAGTTTGCTCAAAATGGCAAAGCTGTGATGAAAAGATAATCATGACAACACATATTCTATTCAATAATACATTTCACTGAAAGTCAAAGATTTCGGTGTTTAATCAAAAAGTCAGATAACTGGCTGAAGTGAATTCATATTTAATGGTTTTTGAACTCTGTGGTGGAGAAAGTTTTAGTTAGTTGGAAGCAGAAAATACCAAATCCGTGCATTTATCAGGTTATTATGACTTTGCTCTTGAACTTTATCCTGATGTGATAAATAGGTTTTTATGTGATGCTTGTGATAATAATTAATACTGTCTTAATTGGGTCGTAATTACACGATTTATAAGCTATACACTAATAGTGTTTTAAATACAGATTATCTTAGTTAGAAGGTACTTAGCTGAGGATTTCAAAAATTACTTAAAACATTGAACAGCACCTCTGAGGATTTAAATGTTTTTTTCTTCGGAAAATGCAGTGGCACAGGTTTTATTTTACAGGCTTAATCGACCTGGCTTTTATGGTCGGCAATATTTATCAGCTCCACACAAGCCTTCGCTTTTATGGCCTCCTGTGAGCTTTGACCCCCTCAGCATTAAAGCTTCTCCCCCGCCTCTGCGTAAAGACGTCTACAGTGCAGGAAACAAAGCGGTTAGAAAAAAGGCAAAACAGGTGTTTAAGTGGTGCCACTGTGTACTGTTGTGTTCTGTTTCCAGGAGCCAGATTTAATGTGCTGTTGTTAAAAATCTGACATTTGTTCTCACACTTGATGGGATCATCGCTAAAAACAAGGAAATAAACTTTTTTTTTAGATGGTAATAGGGAGGCAGGTCTAAACTTGGTGTTTATAAACAGGGTAAATTATAATCCTGGTCACTTTTTAAAGTAAGGTGTCATTCCAGGTAGAGTGTGTGAGTTTTTCCTGCCCTGCCCTCCCTCTGCCTCACTGCAGTTGTTCATTAACAAAAGGAGACCAGCCTGTACTAAGGTGGACGATTAAAGAACTCGGTCTTTACCAAGAGGAACATAACAGCTGTTATTTCTTTTCTTTTTGGTCTTCAATCTCGATATTCTGAATTTACTGAAAGTTTTGGGGGCCGGATCTTACACAAAACTTCTCTTACCTGGATTCTTGGCATCGGATCAGGAGAGCGACTTCTTTTTGGTTACTGCAGAGATGTGCTGACTTCTGTTTTTGAACTTTTGTCATCAGTGGGGAAGATATGTCGTGCTTCCAGCATCCTGTTTACCTGAGCAGAGGTCTCTATTTTTGCCATCTATACTAGAGCCAAAAATTCAGAGGCAAAAATGAAAGTCTCAGTGATCAGGATGTCCAGTTTACTTTACCTGGGCGTACTTATGCTCGCCATGGTCGCCAGTGACATGATTGATGACTGTTTGAATTCAAACCGTTCTTACTACATGAATATTGTACTGCTGGAGGACAACACTTATGAATGGAGCATGCCACTTGTGAAGGCGGCCGTGGAACAAGCTATTCTAGCTGACAAGCAGGAGAACGATAAGTATGGTATGGACAGATAGATACCCAACAGAAAAAACACACAAAACAAAACACATCAGGCTCGAAGAACAACAAGAAGGGTATCAAAATATACAGCAGTATCTTAAAAGTCTCTCTGCGAATGCATTAACCTACACAAAACATACTTTACTGTTAACTTTCACACTTAGCTTAAAAATTAAAAATTAAAAAACTGGACTGCTTGGTTTTTGTTTGCCTAGTCTAAAAGTATGACATTTATGTATGACTATTATCTTATTTTCACATGAAATTGTATTTATCATAGGTTAAAAAGATATAACATATAAATACATTTTTCTCAAGCTGCCTGCAGATAGATATAAAAGATACCTCTTTCTAGGTCCTTTTACTGTGTGTACAAGGCGAGGCTAAAATAGTCGGGTCCCGCAAGGAAACCATTAAAATAGCTTTTAAAAGTGTTCTGTGTATTTGAATCATTCTTCCAGGAATCTGTCTCACTGATGTTTGACCAGTGTTTTACTGCTTGTGCGTGTTTACCACGAAAAAGTTAAATACATCATTAACTTGTGGTTTATGTACCAAATCATATGTCACTTTCGCTGTTGTTAAATAGTTCAAGGTTGCTCGTTTTATTACTAAAAGGACTGATGCAAGATTTCTGCAGTCAATGCCAACAGAAGGACAAAAGATGACTCACGGTTCTCAGGAATGTTTAATAGCTACCCGTAACACCATTCGACTCTGATCCTGTACTCCGTCACACACAACCTTGGCTGTGCTGTTAACAGCGGAGCCAGAGCTGCTCTGGTGGACAAAAAGCATTTGTTATGATGCTATTTTAAGTAATTTTTAGCATTTTATTCTGTAGGGGAAAAACATATTGACAGATATGATACAAATGAAACTAATTTAGAGATTTAAATATGTTATGTTTAGATATGTTATTTAAACATATCTGCTGTATCTGTTATTAAGGGACCCTTTAAAAAAATAATGTTACTGTTCTTCCTGCTTCTGATGCAAATTCAACCATTAGACCTATTTTTGCCAGTGTCAGACTAATCTAATCTCATTGTTTTCCGACATTCATAACTCTTATCAATTTGTTTTCCATGACTCAAGGTTTAGACTTCACTTTGACTGCTAACTTCAATGGGTTCAACACCAACTTGTACAAGCGGCAGGGCTGCGGGAGCAGCACGTGCGAGGGGTTGACAATACTCAAGAAACTAAACGTAAGTGTGGTTACTTGCTTAAACATAGTGGGCACAATCAGACATAACACTTTCTGATGTGATTTTCTTGTTCCTAAAGCCCCTGAGTTTTTTTAAAGCCTTTGTTTTAGATCTTGTAAATAGGTCTGAGGGGTTTTTGCAGTTCTGCAACTACTGATGGTTTGAGGTTGTTATGCTTAAATTGGCTTGTAACTGGCATCATTACACACAGCAGGACAGTTCTAGTTGTAAACATGAACTTAACATCGTGAATGGACATTTTCATTTCTTGGGGATGCATGAAAATATTATTTCTAAAACATCATCAGTAGAAAACAAAGAAATCAGTGATGACCTCAGCTTTCTGTAGACTTTTTCCATAAATGTCACCACTGTTATTGTCATAATTCAAATAATAATAATAGTAATATTTATATTTGATTTGTAAAATAACCTTTCCTCATATATGAACAAAAGTAATGGGACATCTACATGTTACATCTAGAGAAGGTGCCATGAAGCTCCCGGTGGACAGTTTTTATGCTGATGTTAATGCCAGAAGGGATTGGGAACTCTTTTGCTCCCTAAATGCTTCCACTTTGCAATAAAAACACTTACATCTGATCATAGAGGATCTAGGAGGGAAGAAATTTATGAACTGACTTCTTGCAATGATGGCATCCTATTACAGTGGCACGTCTGAATTCAGCGAGCTCTTTAGAACAACCCACTCTTTCATCAGTGATTGTAAAGGCAGACAGAATGACCCAATACTTTTGCCCATTTTATGTACCAAAAAGTCATACAGTATAGACCTCAGGTAAACAACAGTCAGTATATAAGGTCTGCAGCTTGGAGATATTATCTGACAAGTGTCCAGTGTCAGACGAGCAGAGATTTGAGAGGAAGGGGGCAGAAGTGAAAGAGATCAGAGAAATACTGAAATATTTTTCTGAGTGGTGTTGGGGGCAGGATGACTTGATGACTTGTGCTTGATGCCACAGACTCATTGATTATGTGAAGATGATACTGCCATCACTTGCAAGAGATTAAACTATGAGCTTTGTTTGGTTTAGATTGGAAGGTAACTGTGTGCATCGGTCACAGAGGCAGCTGAGCTAAAGAGGAAGTTTACCAGAGGGTTTGGTGATATAGAAGTTATACTTATAAATTAGTGGAATGTCAAGATACAAGTATCACCACAAACACCAGGCTAAATAGAAGCACAGTGCAATGTAGACAAAGCATGCCACATAGTGAACTCAGTCAGTGCAGCTGACATTAGGCCAAACAGCTGATACTGCTTCCTCCAGCACAGTCAAGAGCAACAGATTTGTCCAATTTTACTGGGGACTAATGAAATGGATTTGGGGAAATATTGCAAAATTACAGAGCTAGGAGGAATTGAAGCAAAAAGACTAAATGCAAGTACTAGACTGTGAAGTAACTGCTCTGAAGTTCATTTTCCTTAATGCAGTTGTAACTTTCTTCAGGCTAATGGTGAAGTTGGATGTGTCATGCTGGGGCCTTCCTGCACATATGCCACCTATCAGTTAGTAGAGTAAGTATGGATCTTTTTCTTTTACTTTCAGGAGATTTTTTAATTCATGAGTTTTTAATTTTTGCCCGTTTGTTTTTCTCCAGTGAAAACATTGGTCTGCGTTTAACCATTCCCATCATCTCTGCTGGAAGTTTTGGCCTCTCTTGTGACTACAAGCCTAAACTAACCCGAATTCTGCCTCCAGCACGAAAGATCTGTGACTTTTTCCTTCACTTTATGAATGAAACTCTGCCATTCAAGGAGCCGTGGAGCCGATTCTACGTCTATAAGAAAACCAACAATGCATCTGAGGACTGCTTCTGGTGAGCCAAACTCAAGTGATTATGGATAAGATCTGTTGTTTCATTTGTACTCCAGCATAAATCAGCTTTTTGATTTGTTTCATTGCTTTGCCACAGGTATATCAACGCACTGACGGCACAAACTAACAAGTTTATGCTGGGCACAAACACAGAGCCAATTCATGGAGAGGAGGGCCTGAAAAAATTGTTCCAGTCTCCGAAAAGACACAGCAACAGTGAATATATATATTTTTGTCTGTTTTTGAGAATTTATAGTTTTTTTAATAAAGCAGAAAATGCCTTGGTCCTCTGGGGATTTCATTGTAAGTTGATTATTTAAGCAGTAGTCAAGACTGAAAGAGCTGAACAACCAGTAGTCTGACTGAAGAAGTGCACAAAGACAGCTGAAGAATTTTCCTTCTTGCTTACTGTAAAACTGATTTATTTCTTTCAGTTTTAATCTTATGTGGGAACACTGATGAGATGATTTCAGTAAAGGAGCTGGTGGGCCAGATTCCCAAAGACTTCCTGTTTATTCTCATAGATGTGTACAAGTAAGCCTGGACATGAATTTATTGTTTCACATATGCACTGCTACCACAATGTTTTTATTAAGTGGGAATCAAGAAATCTTAATACTAAGAAACTATTTTCCTTCATTCAGCCCTGATTATTATTTAAACACCACATCTTCTGCGGGTATGGAAAGTGTCTTAGTGGTCACTCTGCCGCAGAGAAACTACACCTCTAGCTCTTCATTCAATGAAACGGTGAGTCGCACCTCAAGTTTAGAAAGAAGACCACATGAAGTAACTGCTCGGTCTTTTATCGTCCATTCTTTCGTGCAGATAAATGATTATGTGGCTGGATATCATGATGGGACTCTGCTGTTTGGTAAAGCACTCAGAGAGAGGATGCTCAGCATGCAAAAATACAACGGGACCGACAATGGCTCTCTGGGTGACAACCCATTTGGAAACATCTCATTTTATGGTGCGTATGACCAGAGATAACACAGCTGGAGGCAGAATGCCGGAGGACTGTGATAAGCAGTATCCGGGAGGACACCATGCCTATTCAAGTAGCTGAAATAAGAAGGATGAGTTAAACATTCTTTTATTTTATGCCCACAAGATTGATGTTGCTTAGATCAACGTTTGACTGCAGCTGAGGAACAAAGATGGCTTTCACATTAAAACACAACCGCCGTCTCTTTTTTAAATTCTGCTGCTCTGTGTTGAGGTTTTGGATGCTATCATACAACAAAACCAATCATACCTGAAGATGACTTCAGATGACTTTGAAAGGATAAAGAGATTTTCATTGCTTGTTTTTTCTTCAAGTTAATATTTACTGCAGTTCAGCTCACTGTAATGTGGAGATTGTCCTCCAAGATACAGAGTATGAGATCAAAGTGAGCATTTACAGCCCTTGATCTTTTGTTTTATGGTAACTTTTATTGTTTTCTGGCTAACTCTTATCCTGCCCTCTTACTTGTACCCAAGTAAAAGGGTCAGTCGGTCTTCTGGATTTTTCTTTATGGTTAAAAGGTACAGGTATGAAAACGATTCCATTGTGATTTATTTTTCTGTACCGACTACAGCAATAATGGGATGCCACAGACTGTATATAAAAGATGGATGAGTCACCATAAGGTCACCTGCTTCTGGGCTCAGTTTTATGAAGCCTGCATGTCAGGGGTTTTGGAAAATGGCTTCTTTTTTTGTAGCCAGAAGTGATTGTCACCTCTTGATTTCTACATGGAGGTTTGATTTGTTCTACGCTTGTATGAAAATACACATGCTTTCTGTCATTACTGCAGTCACAAATAAACAGCTTTTCAATTGTTTAATTCAGATAACTGTTGTTTGTTATATATAACGTTAGGAATCTATCAGGGCAGGACAGTGGCACGGTGGTGAGCACTGTTCCCTCACAGCAAGAAGGTCCTGAGTTCATTTCAACCATCAGGGCGGGGTCTTTCTGTTTGCGTGGGTTCTCTACGGGCACTCCGGCTTCCGCCCACAGTCCAAAGACATGTAGTCATGTGAGGGGTTAGGTTAATTGGTAACTCTAAACTGCCCATAGGTGTGAATGGTTGTCTGTCTCTATGCGTTATGAGTTATGTGTATCCTGCCTCTACCAATCAATTTTATTTACAGCAGTCACATGTTTTATTGTGAAAGGTAGGGCCAGGAAGAATCCCTCTTTGAACATTCATAGAACAATTTAAGTTTCACGTGTATTATTTTATGCATGTATACAATAAATCAAGTTTCCACTTATGAAAGTGTTACCGTCGTCAGCAGTCAAAGCAGCCACATCCTGAACTTTACGTTTTAACAAAAATACAAATGGATGAGTAGTTTTTGGGCTTTTAAACATGGGAGTCTATAAGGATTGAGTCACTTTAGGAGACAACCTCCAGTGGCCACTCCAGGAGCAGCAGTTCTTGCCACCCTAATCATTACTTTAATTTTTCGAGTAGTGCTTTTTGTAATTTGTGTGTGATTTATCTGTTAATCCGTTCAGCTGGCAATAATTTTGATTGGAGTATATAGAATCTCTATGTTTTGTAGTTATTGTGTAAAAAAGAAAAAACAAAGCTTCAAAAGATCAACTTTGACTTTCAGAAATGCAGATTTCTCATGTTGTATAGCTGCAATTACCTAACAGTTAATAAAGGATATAAACAGAATTTATTGATAATGAAATAATTATTTGCAGTTTTTCATGTCAAATTTTTAGGTAACATTGAGTCAAAGCATTTTTTTTAAATGAAACTTTTTGGAAAAGCATAATGCAAAAATGTTTTATTGTCTTGTTTATATGATTGTGTGTGCAAGCAGGTATGGGAGGACACTATGTGCTTGATGAATATGGGGACAGAGATGTTAACTTCTCAATCATTTACACATCAGCTAACACTGCCAAGGTGAAACCTTTGTTTATTAATCAGTTAACACTGCTGCATTAAAAGTGAATAGCTGTTTTTTTTCCTTACATTTTTCCTCTCTCTCTTCCTCTGTAGTATAAAACTCTGCTATTGTTTGATACATCACTAAATAAAACCATCAATTACACCCAAAACCCCACTCTGCCGTGGGCAGGAAACAAGCTGCCTCCTGACGAGCCAAAGATGCCGGATGGTAAAACACACATGAACTTTTTGCAGAATAATTTACAGAATGATTTAATGCTTTATTCAAGGCAAAGCTCTGAATCTTCTACTCTATTCATGCATGTCTGCTTTCAGAGTTTGACATGCAGGAAATCATTGTGATTGTTCTGAGTCTCAGCGTTGTGGTGGTGACGGGAGTCGCTCTTATCTTCTACAGGTAAACTGCAGATTCATTTCCCAGTTGTGGTAGAAGAGCTGCATGTCACATTTTAGCACAAGTGCATCACTAGAGCTGAGCTGAAAAAATGAGGCAGTATTTGCCTTATTTAGGTAAAGGAGGACAGGGTAACAGCTCTGTGGCAAATACTGCCTTGTGTTTTTCAACCTGGCGCAACAACATCTTATTATGCAGTAAACATATACGATCATTTACTGCATGCTTTTTAAAAATATTTTTTTACTGACAGGCAGAACAGGAAAGAACGCTGTCTACAGAAGAAATGGTCTCACATCGAACCTCACCTGATTGGCCCTCTGGATGAGAAGGAAGTGTCTCTGAAGGTAAATGCTCTCATCAGCAAACTTTAACTCCAGATTTTATTCCCTGACTGCTGAAAAAATGCAGCTCTATGACACAGTAAGGCTTTTTTTTTGATACGCATTAAACAAGATAAATAAGATATGACTACATGAAAATGTCAGAGTATGTGCTAAATTGTTAAAGTTCAATAAAAAGTGAAACTGATGTCCAAGAGTCACACAATCCCAGGTGATAACAGATGATCTTAATGCCTCTGCAAGCTGCTTTGCAGCCCATGTTGAACATGATACACCTAGAAGGAAGGTGAATGTTAAGTCATGGATGCCTGCTCTGTTTTGGACCTGTTTGCTCAGTGATTCTTGTGTTAGAACAGGGCCATACATCTGCAGCTATCTTATTGAAAATAAAACCTGTCCTAAAATGTATGTAAAAAGCTTTCAGATCTATGGCAGTTCAAGATAAGAATGTATGTGTGTGTTTATGAAACAGATTGATGAAGATAAGAGGAAGGACAGTATATACTTCAGGCAGCGAGGCCGCTACGACAAGAAGGTATCAGCAATCCAAAAAATTGATATCTGATTTTAAAAAGATTCAAAGGGAAATGATCATGTCGGTCCTTTTCTCTGTGTTCTCCAGCCTGTAATCATGAAAGAGCTGAAAACCACAGAGGGAGACTTCACCGAGGACCAGAGGATTGAGCTCAACACTGTAAGATAACTCTGCGTTTTATCTTAGAGGTTAATAAAAGTACATAAAAAATAATTAACTCTCCCTGCCACTGTCTTCATGTTCCAGCTGCTGCGCATTGACTACTACAATCTGACCAAATTTTATGGCACAGTGAAGTTTGAATATGGTGTGTACGGTGTGTTTGAGCTGTGTCAGAGGGGCTCCCTCAGGGTAAGAGCAGAGCAACGTTCACACACTGTTTCTACCTTCATATCAGGTCCTGCTGCTGGGATTTCTGTTTGTAAATCAGTTTATTTTATCGTTTAGATTGTTTTCTAATCTGTATAACAATAAAAAAAACAAACACCCATGAGCACAGAAATGCACTCACCAGCCACTTCATTAGTTACACCTGCTGTTCCCAACGGTGCTCGACTGGATTGAGATTTGGTGATGTGGAGGCCGTTTGATTACAAAGTTCAAAGAACTAATTTGAGATGATTTGAGCTTTGTGTCTGCTTTTTGTCACACTGCATGCAGAAAAACACAATTTTTGACTCTATGCTGATTTGACTTTTCAGTGCTCACATAGTTCACAGTGACTTTGATGTTCACTTGTTGATAAGTTATGGACACTCAGTGTTTAAAGAACACTTACAGTGTGTATGAATGCATATGATTCAGACTCTCTCACACACAGACTTGTTTCAGTTTCCAAAAATGCTAAAACCTGAATTTGCTCATGTTTTTCCCCCCAGTACATTCTCAGTGACAGGATCTCTTACCCAGATGAAACATTCATGGATATGGAGTTTAAAATATCAGTCATGTATGACATAGCAAAGGTATTGTTTCTTTAAGTTGCCTTTCTGAGTATGTGATTTATTAAATGCTTTCTTTTATTTTTATTTTGCCTGTTTTTTTTTGGGTAACTGGTTTGTTTTTAAATACCACATTTAAAGCACCTCCAGCACATATTTTGTTTCAACAACATATAATTTCAGGATTTTCTTAAGAGGAAAAACAACCAGAACACATGATAAAAAATTGTTGAAATAGCAAATAATAACCACTGCTCTGCTGTATATATTCGATAGGGCATGTCATATCTCCACTCAAGCAATATTGCAGTCCACGGCCGCCTCAAGTCCTCCAACTGTGTTGTCGACAACCGTATGGTGGTCAAGATCACTGACTTTGGCTGCAACACCATGCTAAATACAGGAAAAGGTAAGCTTTAAAAAAATGTTATCAGTGTGGCTGAGTATTGATCTAAGCTCTGAGATCATCGTTTTCTCCTAAAAGCTCCTGCTGAGTTAGAATCCTGCTCTGTTCTGAGTGTTTGTGTGAGAGTTTTGAGTGTTTGAAGCTTTTGGAGTGTATTTCTTGATTTTAATTTAATCATGTCATTTCTTGACTTAGAGAGTTTAACTGGGTTAATTGTGTTTTATATGCTTGGGTTGTATCATCCTTCTCTAATGAGGGTTGCCAGCATGGGTTAGACTGACGGCTCTCTAATGGTCATTGTTGCCTTGCTCTTGCTTTACCTGTTGGTTGAGCTTGGGATGACATGTCTGTGGTCAGGTGAGCACAGTGATGTGGTGGTTAGCACCGTCACATCACAGCATCAGCCAACCTCCCCGTTGGCTGTGGCCATTCTGTGCAGGGTTTGCCTCTTCTCCCTCTGATTGCATGGGTTTGCTCCTGGTATTCTGACTTCCTTGAATAATAATCCTCCCCTCATAAACTGTCCAGGATTTATGTTAATCAAATATAAACATTAGCTTAACTAAAGCAACGATATGACTGGTTTGGCCTCTGACATTACCTTACGGCGACTGCAATGCATGACTAAATCATGACAAGCTTTTCTTGTTAGTTTTTCTCTGACTTCTGAAGTCAGTGTGAGGAAAAAAGACTGGGAAGGAAAAACAAATTAGTTTTCTGGCAGCAAACTGGCACAAAACACACAACAATTATAAAAGGTATAAACTAGGGGAAAAAAAACAGCTTTTAATTCAGAGAGTTATTTTAAAGTACTCTCAGGAGTTAAATAGGCTACTAATGAAATCAGAACACAGAATTTTTAACTGAAGAACAACGTGACACTATTGTATTGCTGTAGAACCTCTACAGTAGCTGTAGACACAAAAAAAAATAATGCAAAATTTCTTTGGGTAAGACTCCATCCTGTTTTGGAGGGGGCAGAGTCTGATCGACTTTCGGAGCCACATAGCAGAATTTTGCTATTTGGCTGCGACACATAGCAGCAGCATCTCTATCATAAACAGCAATCACCTTGGTTTTAAATGGCGTCCATGTTACTTCACAGAGTAGCATAGATGCTATTTTAAAGTTCTCCTTGACCAGCCAGACATAGACTTTTTTTCACCAGTGGATTCTCCACACTTGGACAATTGTTTTAAAAAACAAAAGAGATTGCTCTCATTTGTAAGGGTTGTAACAGTAACACTGCCGAGGAGCTTCTACTCCGTGACCCAGGACCTTGTAACAGCAGTGGCGGGTCTGCAGGGAAGCAGAAAATGCAGCCAGGCTGGCTCAGGAAACTGGGGTGAGGTCTCAGTAACTTCTGTAGAGGCTGCTGGATAAAGTCAGGATTGTTTGGCCTGTTAGATGTAATCAGGACTCATTCTGCAGGTAAACAGTTAATCTCTTTGCCTGACTTTCCATCATTGCTGAAGGATCACTATTATTATCTTTTCAAACACATCAACTATGAATAGTCAGAGGTGTTGCTTTGTCTACTGTACCTGTAATAGGCTTCAGGGGCAGCTGGAGATCCCTGTACAAAGCTCCCATAGAGACACACAGTAAGGATCTCCAATAGAGAGTCACTATCTGTTTCTGTCAGGCTGAGGAAATATTGCACCGCCTGTGGCTTGGCTGTCAAAGACTAGCTAACCTTTTTCTTTGCTCCAGCAGCAGCTCACTGGGTTACGTGTAATTTCAGATAAGTCTTCTTATTTTTTGTTCAAAGTACTGCAAGACAGCGGAGGAAGATATGTCTGACGAACATTCTAATAAGCCAGGCTAAGATGAGCACTGGCTACAAGGGGAAGTCAGATGAAGGGGGCTGACTTTGTAAATGCTGAACTTATGTTCAGGGTTAGGGTAGCTGCAGATTTAAACATAGAATTAATATATTTGAAAAATGTGTCTGACATTGAAAGGTGTGATTCTGATTGGTGAAAGTAACTGATGATAAACTGATGTTGCTGGTTTTCTGTCCAATCAGATTTGTGGACCGCCCCGGAGCATCTTCGTAAATTTGGGGTGTCTCCAAAAGGCGATGTCTACAGCTATGCCATCATTGCCCATGAGATTGTTATGAGACAAGCCCCTTTCTACACAGAGTACTGCACTGATGTTAGAGGTAGGCCACCATTATACAGCCATAAACAGCAGAACTGAAAAAATGTATTTCTGTCTTTGTCAGTCGGTTTTTGTTGATTTAAAGACCATTTTACACATACAAGATGCAAAATTCGGCACACTGTGAAACACAGAGGTCACAGAGTAACGTGTGTCCCATACTTATCTTGTTTAACTGACCGCTGTGCAAACCCACAGAGAAGATCTACAGATTGCAGCATCCTATCGGGCACAATGTCTTCAGACCTGACCTGAACTTTGAGGGTGTGTCAGACAGAGAGATTGAGGTAAAAAAAAAAAGCCTTTCAAACGCAAAGGAGCTGTTACAGCAACACACCCTGATTCTTATAGAGTTTATAAAGTTATATGGATCCATTCAACTAAATGAAGTATATAAAAAACACTTTCCTCTTCTTTTTTTCTTTGTGTTTTTTATGCGTGTTTTGTGTGTATCTCTGTGTCTATACAGCTGTACACACTGATAAAGAATTGCTGGGAGGAAGACCCAGAACTGAGGCCAGATTTTAAAAGAATCGAGTTAACGCTTGGAAATATTTTCAGGTAGATTCCCATTGTGTGTTTCTTCGGTGTGGCTTCGATTCATTTTTATAACTTGACACATTCCGAACTAACTGCCAAACACCTCACCTCAAAGACCCAAGTGAGGAGGTTTTCCTCAAAATACGTCTTTCTGTCATATTCTCTTAAATGAAGAGCAGTAAGTAGCAGTAACAGCTGATATGGTGATATAAAACATTTTTGATCTGATGCAGTAACCTCCATAACCAAGCCACAGAGACGTACATGGACAACCTGATCCGTCGTCTGCAGATGTACTCTAGGACTTTGGAGAAGCTCGTGGAGGAGAGAACGGCTTTGTACAAAGCTGAGAGGGACAGAGCGGATCGCCTCAACTTTATGCTTCTTCCTGGGTGGGTTTTTACACTCAGCTGACTCAGAGGCATCTGACACCAGGAACTTTCAAGTCTGCATTCTCCTCCTCATTACAGTGTTTCTGTATATGTTGTGCTGATTATAGTGTTGCACACCACATATGTAAAAATTAGAGATGCACCGATCCGATATTACGTATCTACGGAGCCCCCCAGGGGACATGGGAGAAAAAAAAAATTAGGGAGGAAAAAAAAAAAAATTAGGGAGGAAAAAAAAAAATTAGGGAGGAAAAAAAAAATTAAGACGGACTTTTGCGAGCGCTCGCAAAAGTATTGCGAGATCTCGCAAAAGTTTTAGCCGCATTCTTCGGAGGCCGCCAGCTCGAAGCCGACCGGGAGGTCGAGGCACGATGTGCCGGGAAAGCGGTGTTCCTCCCGGCTGTAGTAGGTCTCGACTTCCCGTTAGCTTCGAGCTAGTGGCCGCCAGCTCGAAGCCGACCGGGAGGTCGAGGCACGATGTGCCGGGAAAGCGGTGTTCCTCCCGGCTGTAGTAGGTCTCGACCTCCCGTTAGCTTCGAGCTAGTGGGTGTCAGATCTCCAAAAACGTCGGAGCTCTTTTGCAAATATGTGATGTCTTGTAAACCGAGCAGGTATCTGACGTTTACACAACTACATTCACGCCTCAAAATATCTTAAAAGTGTATTTTGTGACCCAGAAAGAGTAATATTACAACTAAGTAGCTGCCGCCATTGTTGGAGTTTTGCGAGATCTCGCAATACTTTTGCGAGTGCTCGCAATACTTTTGCGAGATCTCGCAAAAGTCCGTCTTAATTTTTTTTTCCTCCCTAATTTTTTTTTTTCCTCCCTAATTTTTTTTTTTCCTCCCTAATTTTTTTTTCTCCCATGTCCCCTGGGGGGCTCCGTACGTATCGGTATCGGTCCGATACTGACTTAAATTACTGGATCGGATATCTGAGAAAAATAAAAAATGTAATCCGATCCATTAAATATCACGAAAGCAACTCAAAACTTGCAACACGCCGTAACTCACCTCAGAACGTTAGCACGTCGGAGCAGTATGCATCACGTGATAGAGCGGCTGTGGCATGCGGGACCTGTCGGTGGTCTGGATAGCATGTGGAGCTTCGCTAGCAACCCGGCATTTCATCTCCGACAAAGTTATCCCCGAGAGAAGTAAAGCAAGTGTGTAAGTCCATCTCTAAATGTTTGTAAAGCATTCCTGCGTTAAGCTTAGCAAACGATATATGGAGCGACTGCCTCTTCTTGCTGCTACTGCAATCATGAAACTGCTTAACGATCAGCTGATCAGCTTCTCCGTCGCGAGTCCGTCTCTCTAGTTTGTTTTTGGTCCACTTTGCACCAGAAAGAGGAAACCAGCGGCTGAACAACAGCAGCACGTTTAAGCTTGATCAGCTGTTGTTAGAATTTATTTAATATTACTTTCTACTCCAGGATCTTTTTCTACGTAGCTGACGGCTGGTAACTGTGCAGGGGCGGATCTAGCAAGTTTAGCCAGGGAGGCCGATAGGGCATTAACAGGGAAAAGGGGGCACAAAGACATACTTTTCTTTCTTATTCTCATTTAAAATGTCGAGCTTTTAATAAATAATTATCTGACACCCAAAGTTTTAATCTGATGTAAAATGAATAGAAGTCAATTACTGTATATAGTGACTATTAAGTCTAATATATATACCCTAGTAAGCTATAGTACTTTTTCCTTTGGGAAGGTACCATCTGTGCAGTCTGCAATTTTGTTGAAGAAAGATGTTGAATCTATTTAATATTTCTTGAAAAATAATTGATTTCTGTGCATTTTTTTTTCACACTGCATCAAATTAAGGTTGATTACGTTGATTAAACATCATGAGGTGGCGGGTGAGGGGTGGTTCCCTATTCTTTATTTATTTATTTTTGTTGTTGCTGGGAGTTGGAACCCTATTAGTTAGGTTGCTTAATATTTACGCTAAGTACTCTTTAAAATACCAGAATAGGGAGGATGGTGTAGGTTTAAGTTTATTAGATTGATCAGTATTGCTGAACTATGAAATTTATTTTTTTGCATATAGGTATAACAGAATAGCTTTAGTGTAGTTGTTGTTTTAAACTTGAGTATGAACTTATACAAAATGCAGCAAGATATTAAAAAAAAACAGTTTTGTTGATTAAAAGACACTATATCGGATTCATATCGGTATCGGCAGATATCCAAATTTGTGATATCGGTATCAGTATCGGACATAAAAAAGTGGTATCGTGCCATCTCTAGTAAAAATAAGCAGGTTTAGCAGCAGCAGGCAGTGGTTTTGTTTAAAAAAAACAAACCCCTCTAAATATCCACCTGTTTAGGGACATAGGTTATGCAGATTTACACTGTTTATGAATACTGATATTAATAATGTTATCAAATATAACACATGTATCATAACATATAAACATAATATAATTATAACAAATTTTCAATCATAATCAGTGATTGGTAATTGGAGTATTTTGTAATACAATACCTGGGAAAATCTATAGAATCACCACACTTCATTCTTTTATTTGTTTTTGTAGAAGAAAAAATATTAAGAAGTATTAAAAACACTTAATACTTTGTTGCACAGCATCCAGCTTTTATAATGGTCAGAATTATATCAGGCCTGGGGTTTACTATTGAAAAATCATATTGTCCATCAAACTGCTTCCAACTTTTTGAGGTCAGAAATAAGTTGCTAGGTCAGCTTTGTAGGGAGGAGGCTTGTTGTTGTCCATTTTTTGTTGTTCATTAATTTTTATTTGGATAGAGATACAGACCTTTTCCTTTGATTGCCTTTCAGCAAGAAAAGATTTAGCATTCGTTGCGCTGTAACAAGATGGATTATCATCCTCAAAGTGACTTTGCCATCACAAATCTAATCATGAATTTGATTGTACACTTGTGTATTTACTGTTGAAGTAATGACCGCCGTCTCTTCTGGGCATTCTATCTGACTATGCAGCCTTATAACTGCATAGTCATGACCAGTGTTGGTCAAGTTACTTGAAAAAAGTAATCAGTAACTAATTACTGATTACTTCCCCAAAAAAGTAATCCCGTGACTTTACTGATTACTTATTTTCAAAAGTAATTAATTACTTAGTTACTTTTTAAAAACACGATTTACAACCTGAATAGGTGATAAAGCGATAGATCTTTCAGCCCAATTCTACTTTTTCTACATAATCCATCATACAAAATGTAATCAAATGGAAAAGTCTCTTTTTAAAACTTGTTTTATTAGTTTTAATCTTTTAACTTTATGCATCAAGCAAAAATTAAATTATATGCAACATTCTCTGACTTGAAGAAATTTGTTTAACATTTAAACCTATTTTCTGCACATTCCAGCACATAAAATAAAATATTTTTTGTGTTTACACTCAGTCTTTCAAATAGATGCAAGTAAAACACAGCTGAAAATAAATAAAATCAAAGACTAGCGGTCCTGTTGCTCTATTTTCACCTGTAAAGCAGGAGTGGGGTGGTTTGCCCTGGTGCAGGTGTGCCGCAGCGGTCAGTGGAAGAATCCGCGAGTTTCTCTGTCAATTTCCCATTACGTCATTGCGCACTCGGTGCTTGTTTAAGTAATCAGATTACCCATCTCTGGTCATGACTGAGCGCAGAATTTACACTCCAGCATTTACTGTGTGTAGAGGCTGAAAACCCCCATCATGCTGTATTTGGATGTTTACATGTTGTAGTCATGTAACATTAATATATCTGACAGTAATCACATTTTCCACTCTCTCTGCGTCTCCATAGCCCAGTGGTGCGTTCCCTGAAGGAAACGGGGAGTGTGGAGCCAGAGCTGTTTGAGGAGGTCACCATCTATTTCAGTGATATTGTGGGATTCACCACCCTCTGCTACTACAGCACCCCCATGGAGGTGGTCGATATGCTCAACGAAATCTACAAGAACTTTGACAGCATTCTTGATCACCATGATGTCTACAAGGTAGCTTAGCAGGATAACAGAAATCCAGGCCTCTACTATCAAGGAGGTCACAATTTCTTTAAGCATTAATCTATCATTTCTAAGAAAGTGCTTAGGGTTAGACATAAATATTTTCTTTTTGAATAAAGACAAAGATTTTATAGATAAGTTACATTTCCATTGTCTCGTAGGTTGAAACAATAGGAGATGCTTACATGGTTGCATCCGGTTTGCCCAAACGTAACGGCAACAGGCATGCATTGGACATTGCCCACATGGCCCTGGACATCCTATCATTTGTGGGGACGTTTGAGCTGGAGCACCTGCCTGGGATTCCTCTATGGATCCGTATTGGTGTACATTCAGGTACCAGAGATTCACAATGATTTTACTATGGTCTCATCCGAATTTTGCAAAAGTTGGGATGCTGTGTAAAATCTAAATAAAGACAGAGTTCAAACTTCATAAAGCCACAAATGATGTTCACAACAGAGAATAAAAAATACATCAAATGTTTAAATTGAATAAATGTAACATTTTATGAAAACTCCTGGCAACTGCTTGTTAACAGCAGCAACAAAAAGCTGGAAAAAAGAGGAGAAAATATAGAATTTCTTACCAGTAAAGACTGGCAGAGGTTCACAGATCTGCAAAGATTTTATGTCTCAAAATTATGGAACAATTTTATAATAATGGTCCTCAAAGTGAAATTGTGAAGACTTCGACAAACTGATCATCTCTACACTAGATAATATGATCACAGATTGAGATATCTGCAGTAATCTCGCCGTGCAAGGGCCAAGACTGAAAATCAATACAAAGATACTTGTGATCTTCGGACTCTCAGGCAGCGCTGCACTAAACACAGACATGATTCTGTCACTGCATGGGCTCAGCAACACTTCCAAAAATATTGTCTGTGAGCACAGCCGACCGTGCCATCTACAAATACAAACTCTATCATGTAAAAAGGAAGCCAAACGTCAACATGATGCAGGAACACTTCTGTCTATGCTAAGCCAAAACTCATTTAAAATGGACTGAGACAAAGTGAAAAAGTATTTTGTAGTCAGATGAATCCAAACATTCTTTCTTTTTTTTTCTTTTTTTTTGCAAACATGGATGTGCCACATCCTCCAGATTAAAGAGGTATAGGTATCGTCCAGCTGTTCAGCAGCAAGCACTCAGTTCATAATTGTCTATCTCTGATGTATGGGGGTGCATTAGTGGAAATATCAGTTTGCACATCCCAGAAGTCCAGCATAATTTCATGTTTGTTTATGTTCTCCTAAAAATTCTATAAACCATTAAGTTTAGACCTCTCTGTGTGTAGCCCTCAAACTCGGTTTTCCTTTGTCTGTCATGGAGCTGCTGACATCTAGTGGCCAAATAATATACGTGTAGGTTAATGTTAATTATATGCTAATAAAAAACTAAATACATTTTTTTTAAAGGAAGCATAAATTGAATCTTGTTATGTAATTGTGTCCAGGACCATGTGCAGCAGGAGTGGTGGGGAAGAAGATGCCTCGCTACTGTCTCTTTGGAGATACGGTTAACACGGCTTCACGGATGGAGTCCACAGGCCTGCGTAAGACAACCACACACATTTTACACACTCACAACACTGGCAGCTTAGGCGCTTAGCTTGAATTGGCACAAAGGGAGGGCAGATGCAAGCACAGAGTCCGATGGCTGCTTTTCACATCATCTTTCCAGCTCTGAGAATTCATGTCAGCCAGTCTACCATCAACATCCTGCAGAGGACGGACTGCAAGTTTGAGTATGAAAAACGAGGAGAGACGTATCTGAAGGTGAGCTGGGTGGTGTTGGGCTTTTTAACTTACTTATTTACTTTAAATGCCATACCACACAAACTGAGGTCACGAGTGTGTGTGAGTGTTTGTGTTTGTCTGCACTTCACCCACAGGGTAAAGGAAAAATGATGACATACTGGTTAACAGGCGTGACCGGGGGAAGTTACAACCTGCCGACGCCACCGAGCGCGTGAGTAAAGTCCTATCAATAAAGAATTTTTACACAAAATGTTGAAGAACTCTGGTATACCCTGAACACAATACGCAAACAGTATTATGATTTAATAAATAATGTATGTTCTTTATATTATTAGATTACCACCTACTTTAAAGTGCTTCATTTGTTAATTGATAGACTAATTAACTGTAAATTTTTTAAAAAGTTACTACATGAGGATGAATTATGCGGATGTTGGCGTAATACATGCTGCCACTCAGATAACTGCTTTTCCAGCCTTGCTTGTTTTAGCGAGACAATACCAGACTACCCTGTGGACATGTTACAGTAAAAGAGTCAAACTGGTCAGCCTGAAGTTCAGACCTGGCACTCACTGAAAGTATTTTTCATATTATGAAAGAAAAAATATCACAAAGAAGGCTCCAAATTGTTGAAAACATTTTTCATCATTCGTCTGCTTGTAGGTAGTGAAATAGCTAGCTTGTCAGTCAGCTGTCCAATGACTTTTGAGCCTTTGTAATACAATAGTTTTTGTTAAACCCCTTGTTTTAAAGCTGCAAGTCTGCACTTCAGTCACATTTAAAATATTTGATCTGACAAAATTACATAATTGTGGCACAATCCAAAAAACCTATGGATCTAAGGGATGGTTCAAAGCTTGTCCGATGTTATGCACACTGAGTTCATAAAGAGCAGTTCCCCCCTTGTAATGTAGTTTTCTTTTAGACAGATTGAATATTAGATAAAATATATTGTAGGCTAGCATTTGGTTTTCAATTTATATTTTACCGTTCCACATTTTTTTTCAGAATCTGCGTGATACCTAATTTTAGTTTTACATCATTACACAATAATCTAAAACAATTTTACTGTCTCAGGGAGAACTTCCAGTCGCTTCAGAAGGATCTGGCAGAGATGATCGTGTTAAGTCTGGAGAAGCGTGGAGGGGACAGCTTCAAAAAGAGGAAGACCCTGTCCACCAAAATCCGCCGGAGGGAGACCAACAGCAGCGCGCAGAGCGACAGCCTGCCAGAGTACTTCCACCTAGCTGTCACTGAGAACCCGAGCACCTACCTGTGATCATAGAAGAGCTTTCAGCACAAGACGTAGACTTTGTACAAGTTTGTCAAGTTAGATTCAGGACTGCTGGGTTTCTTTGGACAGCTTTGTTCATTCATCGGTTGGAGAGACAACGCCGCAGCAGCACGTCTCTTCATCCCCAACAGCCTAACGCCTTGAGATCAACTCGCCTTGCTGATCCTTTAAAGATGTTAAGTAGTTACTGTTGTGGCACAAAGAGCGGCATATTTATATACAAATGTTTCTCCATAAGCGATCCAGATAACGTGGACGAGGATACCCAGTGCACTCTTCTTTACTTTGAGCCATCCTTCTGTTTATGTCTCAATGTTGCCTGCAGGAAGCTCACTGATTGAGCAACACGTGATAAAGAAAATATATATTTATCGTGTAAATATTTTTCTGCTTCAAAGACAGTGGAACTCTATCCAAACAGTACTCATCAAGACTATTTTGCACTGTAATGATGCTACCTTTCCGTTTTCACAGCATCAGAAATATTTGTGTTGATTTTTAGTTTGTTTTATTAAAACATGTTTGAAATACGACACAAGATTTAAAGCAGTTCCTGTACTTTTCCTGTACAACGGCAAAAACAACAAACTATACAGTCACCTGGTACACTATTTTTTTCACACAAGCAGTGCAGAGGAATAAAAACAGCTGTAGAAAATCGTAATCTTATTTTTAAAAAACCCATAAGAACATGGTAGAAACACAGAAATCTCAGTATACTGAGTACAACGTGCAGTATAAATGCAGTGGATATACGTTTTTAAGAACACAGGTGTGTTTTCATCTCTTTAGAGAATATTACTTCGACCTCACATTTCATGGAGACCCCTCTCAGTACTCATGAAAGCTGTACCCCAACCTGAAGCCAAGTCTTCACTCTAAGGTTTAATGAACTTGCTTTTTGCCCACAAAAGGGAGAGGTGTGGCCACAATGTTAGTGAGCAAACAAATGTGTTTCCCCACAGCCTGCTTAAAGAGTACGACCACACACCCGCAGCCTTACATGGTTTTAGTTGTAACTAAAGCAGTGCCACCCAGCTCTGTGGCAGGAAGTGGGATTCTGTGCTCCGCCATTGTGCTGCATGCAGGCGAGTCTCCGCCCACCTCTGCTCCACCACGCATCATGAGGTCCCTGCAAGCTGTGAAGCCATTCTCCCACTCTGAGCCTGTTTGGCTCCCAGAGTGCACATGAGAGCAGGGTGATGGGGCCTCTGCCGCTCTCTGAAATATCTCAGCTTGACCGTTTCTTTCTGAGGGCAGAGGGTGCAGTTTGGCAGGTGGCTGCGCTTTCTGAAGAAGTTCCTGTCTTGGCATGCCATCCTCTGTGACACAAACAACAGAAAAACTGTCACTGAACGTTCACGCTGAAAGACTCCTCAGCCATTCACAACATTATACCCCCCCCCCCCCCCCCCCTTATTTCCTCAATTGATCAATAAGGTGCTTTTTATATATTAAAGGTAATCGTGTTTTTCTTTAAATTAAAGGTTCATAACATGCTTTAAAATAATTAAACGAATGTCTATCAAAACAGTTAACGAGGTCATGAGATTGATGAGTATATAAATCCTCTGTATGAAAAAGAGGACTTCTGACTGGTTGCCCCTCAAAAACAGAAGGTTTGCACAGAAAGTGGGCGGGACTTCTCACAGGCAGAACTGCGGGCCTGGGATGAATATATTGCCCCTTTAAAGGCTGTACCATTAAAAAAATTGCCACAAAATTCTATTTTTTTTAGTTGATTGTTCAGTGAACCTCCTGACAATTTAAATTAAATATTAATTTGCATATATGATTTTTAATTTACATCCTATTTGCTAAATTCCAAATTTTTCATCTCTTAGAGAAAACTTTACTGTGACTTTAAAAAAAAAAAAGCTCAGCACGAGCTGTTATCAAAGTAAAGATTGGGAAAAATGTAGGCGTGCAACTAAAATGTTTGAACTACTGCACTGCAACAAAACGCAGCTAAGCAGTAATGTTTTTACATTCCATATTTCCTGTGGTAAGAGGTGTGAGTCGACAGATTATTCACTGACGCAAAGGATGCCCAAGTGACTTGAGCTTCTCCTCAGCCCTTTCTTTGTTTTTCCTCTTTTTTTAAAGTTAGTTAAGGCTGAATAAGAGCTGCATTCCAGGAGATTGAAAAAAATGGCCACAGTCATGTTGGTGTATTTACGAAACACAAAAACTCGTGTGTCTGATTCAGGCCATCATCAGACACAGAGGCCTTTAAAAGCAGCTGCTGTTGGCTGTCAGACTGTCAGTTTTAGTTTCACAGGTTTTGTGTTTTCACAAAGTAAATCTGTAGCATTCAAATGTTCAGCCTCGGGCTATGCAGTGCTGTGAGAAAGTAATTGCACCCCTTTCTGATTTCTTAGTTTTTTTGCATGTTTGTCACAGCTGCGTATTTGGGATTATCAAACGCATTTTAGTATTTGACGAAGAAAACCTGAGTAAATACAAAATGCTGTTATTATAATGGATTCATTTATCAAGGGAAAAAATCTATCCAAACATGCATGGCCCTGTATGAAAAAGTCATTTCCCAGAAACCTAATAACAGGCTGTGCCACCTTTGGCAGCAACAACTGCAATGAAGCGTTTGTGATAACTGCCAATGAGTCTTCCCCATCACTGTGGAGGAATTCTGGCCCACTCTTCTTTGCAGACTTGTTTTAATTCAGACACACTGGAGGGTTTTCAGGCATGAATGCCAAAAGATCTCAATTGGATTTAAGCTCAGACTTTGACTAGGCCACTCTAAAACATTTATTTTAGATTTCTGGAGTCATTCAGAGGGGACTTGCTGGTGTGTTTCAGATCATTGTCCTGCTGCATAACCCAAGTGCACTTGAGCTTCAGGCCATGAGCTGATGGTCGGACATTGTCCTTCAGGATTTACTGCTAGACAGCAGATTCTATGGTTCCATTGATTACAGCAAGTTATCCATGTCCTGAAGCAGCAACAGCCCCAGACTGTCACACTACCAACACCATAATTAACTGTTGTTATGATGTTGTCTTTATGAACTCCTGTGTTCGTTAATGCCAGACATAACAGGACACAAATCTTAAAAAAAATAATAATTTTTTGTCTCATCAGTCCACAGAATATTTTCCCAGAGGTTTTTTGGCAAATATGAGACGAGTCCTTTTGTTCTTTTTGGTCAGCAGTGGTTTTCATCTTGGAACTCTTCCATGGATGCCATTTTTTGCCCAGTATCTTTCTTATTGTTGAACCATGAACTTCCCCTAACTAAGGAAAGTGAGGCCTGCAGTTCTTTAGATGCTGTTCTGGGTTATTTTGTGACCTCCTGGATGAGTGATGGATGCGCTCTTGGAGTAATTTTGGTGGGCCAGCCAATCCTGGGAAAGTTCACCACTGCTCCACGTTTTCTCTATTTGTGGATAATGGCTCTCACCGTGGTTCAGTGGAGTTCCAAAGTTTTCAAAATTGCTTTGTTGTGTTGATAGACCTCTCTGCATTGAATCATACTTGTTATTAATCCGTGGCTCTCTTCCACAGCATGTCTTTTATTCTGTCTTCCTTCTCTCTCCCCAATTGGTCATGGCAGATTGTCGCCCCTCCCTGAGTCTGGTTCTGCTGGAGGTTTCTTCCTGTTAAACGGGAGTTTTTCCTTCCTACTGTCACCAAAGTGCTTGCTCATAGGGGGTCATATGATTGTTGGGGTTTTCTCTCCGTCTATTATTGTAGGGTCTACTTTACAACATAAAGCGCCTTGAGGCCACTTTTGTTGTGATTTGGCGCTGGATAAATAAAATTTAATAGAATGTGTAATCAAATAGATATCAATGACTTTGTCTCTCAGAGTTTTTTTAGATGGTGGCATGCTGTGCTGGTTTGAGATCTTTCAGCCTACTTCACTTTGTCATACCGGTTCTATTTAATTTTTTGAGCAAACAATTACTTTTTTCACATATGGTTTGGATAACTTTTTCCCCTTAAGAAGGGAAATAATCATTTCAAAACATCATTTTGTATTTAATAATGTTAAAATTTGTTAGTTGACCTGAAACATATAAATATAACCAAGCAAAAACACACAAAAAATAAGGAAGGGGCCAAATACTTTTTCACAGCCCTGTACAACCTCTGGCACGGAAGAGTCTGTTTATGTGTTTTCAATGTTGTGCGGGGGGTGCCTACGTTTTCTTGCCCAACCAGCGGATGTGTGCTGAAACCAGAATAGATGGTAAGGGAGCGGGACTGACCCTTGGGACAAGTGAGAAGAAGAGAACAGAAACTGTGGAGTTTCTACTGTGCTGAACGTCACAGTTCATCACCTGCCCTTCTGCAGCCCTGTTTCCTCCACCCGACTGTCAGCTCTGCGTGTCAGATCTCCTCTTTTTAAGTAAACCGACTTCTCTCCACAGCTTCAAAAACCATGTTGTCTTGTAAAATATGTATCTTAGGAAAAGACCTCTTATAACTTCTCTAGATCACTAGATGTATTAAAAGCATCTGATGTATATTTTGCTATTTAGTCTAATGAGCGGAATTTAAACAACTATAAAAGCCGCTTTCAGCTTCCTCCTTTTTCACAAGCGGTGGTCACAGCGGGGAGGTCTGCGTGTATGATTTTGGTAGATTTTTACAGCGAATGCCCTTCCTGACACTACCCCAAAGGGATTTGTGTCTCCTCCTGTGATCGAACCAGGGATCTTTCACTTGTTAGGCAAACTTATAAACCGTAACACTCTAAGTGACACAAACCATCAAAAGCTTGTTGTCCTTACCGGAGGTGCTGCTGCGTCTGGTCTGTCGCTTGTATATGATAAACCAAAGAGTCAAAGCCAAGATGGACCCCACCACGACCACGACCACAGAAATCCACAGAGTCGGACTCAGCACCACCATCGAGGTGGGCTTGACAGTGGTGTTTATGGCTTTGAGCTGGTTCACGACAGTCAGGGGCGGCTCTGTGAGGGGGGAGGACAGCCACATGCTGACTACCTCAACAGTTAAACAGTTTGCATTCTGACATGTAAGAAAAGTTTCAGAAAGAAAAAGGATGAACTCAAGTCTGACTCGCTCACTCATTTTATAAGCGGCTGTACAAGAAAAAAGAAGATGATAACGTTGATGTACTAGGTAGTCAGGTAAAATAAAAGTCTACATGATAAAGTTGTAAAGACATGCTGAATCCACAACTGAGACATACTCCAAGACAGAGGCAGAACACTGAGAGAACAAACTTGTGCCCAAGAGGCAGAAAAAAATGATTAGAATTCAGTGAAACTCACCTTTTGGTGGATCAGGGTGAGATCTCATTAGTGACTTGCTGGGCACACACGTGTGGACTAAGTTGTCAAACTTTTTTCCCTCAGGACAAGACTTCTTATCCATTCCTGGTGCTACGTGAGTAACGAAAAGTAAAGTGGACTGTTGCCTTTGTCTAATGCTGTGTTTGTTGCACACACACAAACACACAAAAACACAGAGCAGCGAGCCACAGAGGAGGGCTATGACGGGAGGATTTGTGAAATGAATGCAGAAGGCCCAACAGACGTTTCAGTTCCTCCGTTTAATAGGAAAGAGTGAATCACTACATGTGTCTCCTGGGGACAGCGTGACAGAGAGAGAGAGAGACCACATTTCTATTTCAAAAACAAAGAGTTCCTGACTTTCAAGCTTGCAGGTTTATATTAAACAGACTCTTCACTGGAGACATCTCAACATGACGGCTTTATCAGTCTTTTTCCCCCCCAACCACTGGAAATATTGTTTGCAATGAATGCACAGTGCATGGGGTCAGATTTCAGAACCCTTTGCACAGAGGGGCCAAGAATTATGCAGATATTTGACCTTATATGCTGCTGGTCCTCAAGCCTTGAGCAAAGACACATATCACTGAATAAGACCTCTGTTTTATACTGAGATGCAGTGACATGTAAGAAATAATGCACTATAAGAAAAAAAACAAGAAAAGAACAAAACAAACCGCTAAAATGCTCAAAGCGCATCACCGGGTAAATTTCAGCACCCAGTGATGCGGTTCAGCACACTGGACAGACAGTTAAAGCAAAGAAACCACAGTGAGCTCAGGTAAAGATGCTTTCTGTGACCCCACTGTGATCAGGAAAAAACAAAAACACACAAAAACAGGCACCATCTAAAGGTGGACCCACAACTTTCAAATTCAAATTGCGCTTGCTACGATAGCAATGATGAAAACAGCAGCTCACCCTCTCTGAGGGGAAAACTACGATGGGAGTTCAGTACAACCAGGCTTTCTTTGTGTTAGCTGGTTAACCCCCAAACCTCAGCTGGAGATAACGATTGTCGCGACGATGGTTATCAACTTTCTCTGATAAGTCGGGTTTTCTGCTTCCGGTACACCCCGGATCTGTGTTCGCATAAACAAACAAAAAAAAAGAGGAGCATTTCTCGGATCATGTGACTCTTCTTCCGCAGAAAAAAAGGCGGCTTCTATGAGTGCAACTTACTCACAAATGATGACGATTAAATGTATAAAGAATGTAAAACAAAAATAACAGTTAAATACAATATCTTTGCACACAAGACAAGAGATTAATGCTGCAGAAAATCTGGGATTTTCTAATTTGAAGAGTGCGCATCAGAGCTCTGAAACTGTAATCTGGATACATTTAAACATTAAACGTTTCTGTCCCACAGGACAGGTAAGGACGTGTAAATCTCTTTATTTTGTTGGCAGATCAAAGTGAAATGCATTTTGATTGCTAGTCGGTCTTGGTGACCAACGAATGTAACTGATCAGTTTTCCAATCTGTGTACTAGTAGCTGCAATTCCAACAATGTAAAATAAGACCATCCATCCATTCGCTTCCGCTTATCCTTTTCAGGGTCGCGGGGGCCGCTGGAGCCTATCCCAGCTGTCATATGTATGATGTAAAATAAGACTTTACAGCCAATTACAAGTATGTATAAAATTATAAACATTTTTCTGCTTCATTAAATTGACATAGGTTTACGGGCCAATACCAAAAATCACTTTTTTCGGAGACAGCTACAGAAGAAGACAAGTTTTCGAATTGTCTTGCTTTGTTACTTTTCCATTAAATATTTATGAAAGCCTCGAACTCACATGAACAATCCACTTGATCACTAGATTTGACTTTGGTGACAAAAGATCAAAGGCTTAAGAACTCTAATGCTAAATCTGGTGATAAGTGACTGATGGAGGCTTAGAGCCACATTCATTTAAAGAAGTTCACCGCAGAGCTCGATGAGATTCCAATCCTAATGTCCTGGTTTGATCTCTTTTTGTGGGGATCTGATTTAAAGCCTAAACTTGAGCTCACTTAATTTGATGTAGATTTAATAGAACTGAGTTCAGATTGTGAAGAAAACTAACTGAAATCTGAGTAAAGTTTAAACTTAATCACTCAAACATATGTTTTAAAATCTCACACATCAAATGACCCTGCACCAGAAAAAAATCTAAACCCGAGTAGCTGAAAGTCCAGACTGTGAGAATTTAAGTGTAAAACAAAAATGGAATAAAAGGCATATCGTAGACATGCAAAGAAAGAAACACAAAAATACAAAAAGAGGTTTTTAATTTTGCACAGCACAATAAAAAAAGCAGCAAACAAAAATCAGATCATAAGAGATGATCAGCTCCTGAGTCCTGAGGCATTGCACTGATTGTTTCCTCTACTCCTGCAGCAATAGTGTTTGTATATATGAAGACATTCAAGCATCAAAAATAAAGATTTTACTTTAAGGTGGCACATCTGCTGATTTTGTGATTTGGTATTTTATTATATCATAAAGCTACTGTGAGCATCAAAGGCACCAATGGCTGCACACAGGACACCCTGGGAAAAAAAAAGGAGATCTACTCATGGATGCAATAGCAAACATGCAGAAAAAAAAAAAATCATCTGCTGGATGGACATTGAAAGGACAGATAAAACCCGCCTCCCAGAAACTCACTGGGTTGTACAGATGGGCGTGGACCTCCATTACCCTGAAAGAATCTCTGTCGCGCGCACACAGTCACACACTGATGCTCATGGTTTGAAAAGAATGGGCTGCATCTTGATAAAGGTGAAGTTGTAATACTGTGGCAGACCCTGGTGGCTAATGCTGCCGAATTTGTCCCAAAAGAACGGCGGGAGTCCGTCCTGTGTTGTCGGCCCGTTCACCGCCTCCGCACGGAAATCCCCAGCCAAGTGGAAATCTGTCACCTGCACAGGGAAAAAGACGCCAACAAGAAGAAAGCTGGGTAGAGCTTAAAAGCATCTGAATTCATGAAACCTGCATGACTGCTACTGATGAAAAGGCTATTGTGGCGCTCTGGGAATACCTTAGTGTCATAGCAGCCTCCTGGTGAAGGCCTCTCGCTTTGCAGGTCGTTACGGCAACAGATGGACTTGCAGGGGTCACCCTTTGAGTACAGATCCTTCTTGTAGTCTGAAAACAAGCAAACCAAAAATATCATGCTTGTGAATGTAAATGGGTGGCTACTGGAAAAAGAAATGAAAAGATTTCAAAAATTAAACAGAGATCCAACTAAGCCTAATTCTGTGTCACAGTTCAGCTATCACACTGGCTACTGCAGAAGAAACCCTGGGACACTCGTGGACCTGGTTGGGAAGAAATGCTCTACCTGTGCATCTTTGGTTTAAACAGACGTGCAACAAGTCTGAACAGAAGAGGTACCTAAAAGAAATGTATAAAACTATATCAGCTCAAGCTATAGCTATCAGAATAGCTAGGAAAAGGCCACTTAATTAGGTACAGTTGTTCAACTACTTGTTAGTGCAAATATCTAATCAGACAGTAAAACAGCAGTAACACAGTGGATTTATGCACATAGACATGGTGAAGACAACCTGCTAAAGTTCAAACTGAGCATCATTTAAATCCCCAAATCCACTTCAGTATTGTTATGACTGTTATGAACATGTTCTACCAATCTTCTAATGGCTGCTTCCAGCAGGACAACGGACCACATCGCAAAGCTCAGATCATCTCAAACTGCTAGATGTGATTTGAATCCAGCAGCTTGTTGAATGTGTGCCTCTAACAAGATGTAACTAATGAAGTGCACTGCAGCCAAAAATCTAGCTTATGAAACAGCAACATACAAAGAGTCAGCAGAATGAGCTAAAACTAAGAAGCTGAGATGGAGCCACACACCATTGAATCTCATGATGTGCTTCAAGGACTCCAGGTCCTTAACGCCACACTGGTCACGGCGAAAGATCTTGGCTCTGGGACAGAGGTCATAGGAGAAGTCCTCTCCGTACTGCTCCCACATTTCTACGTAACCACTCATTGTGTAGATCTTCCGATGGAAAGGAATGTTGTAGGATGGCCAATAACCTGTAAGAAATGGATGTGGTGACGAAATCACAGAAAAGTCTAAAAATGAAATATGATACAAAATACAATTGAATGTAGAAAATGATTAGCTGCCTCTGCGCAGAGTCTGTGTCTGGTCCGAGTACTCCACCAAGCTGGGGATCTGCTCCACCACAGTCAGCGCACCGTCGTCAAGACTGTGACCCAGCTTCACTTTGCTTCTGTCCAACACCATGTACTGATTGTTGTAGGTTCCTGCAAGAGTTACAGGTGGATTTATGGAAGAGAAAAAAGTTTAATAAAGAGGCCTGAGCATGATTTAGCTTTTTCTATCAAAACACAGCACAGTTTCTGTGCTTCGTGTATAAAGATCCATGTACATAAGGCAGACATGCTCACCAGAGTTATACATGGAAAAGGTTTTGGCCCATTCTTCTCCGGTTTTTGCCAAACTGTGAGCCAGCCTGACCCTCTGCCAGGCCAGTAGGCTATTTGGGGTGATTGTGTCAAAAAGGGAGGAGTTGAAGACATTGTTGGTCGTCTGCGTCATCATCAGACCACTTCCCAAGAGGTAGAAGTCATCCAGCGACACCAGGAACCCTGAAGCCACAAACAAGCCACATTACAAACATGAGCTTTATGGATGATCTTCTTCCATAATGATGTTCTTTTTGCATGTGTGCCATGTGTGAAGAGGGCGAGATAACCAAAATTGTTATACAGAGACAGCAGAATGAATGGTTGGCCTTCTGGAGATGGCTGACACTGACTGAATTACGAAGTGGAATCATCAGCAAAACTCTAAAACTTAAGAAGCTGATCTCACCAAATTCATTTAAGACGTCTTTAACTGACCTGGAGGCAGCTACTACAAATGTACTGCATGAATATTAACAGCACAGTACTATTCAATAAACTCAGTGACTTTTACTTTTATTTATGTTTGTTTCAGCAGTTCATAAATGTTGGTTGTGTTTGTATTTTACTCCATCAGTTTTACATTCTTATAGTTTTAGTGTGTTTTTGCTGTGTATTTTCATCTGTGTTGTACTAGTCTGTGCAGTTACTGATTGTAATGCTGCCTGTCTTGGATAGGACACGTTTTAAAAGAGTTGTGTAACCTTAAAGTAATGTTATCCTGGTTAAATGAAGGTTCAATCAAAAT